GATGTAGTGTGGTGTAGTGCAGTTGCAGTTGTAGTTGCAGTTGTAGCCGTAGTTGTAGTGCAGCGTAGTGGAGCTGTAGCTGTAATGTAGTGTAATTAGTTTAGTGTAGCGTAATGTAGTTGTAGTTGTAGTTGTAGTGTGGTGCAGTGAAATTAGTGTAGTGTAGTGTAATGTAGTGTAGTGTAGTATGTGTAGTGTAGTGTAGTTGTAGTTGTAGTTGTAGTTGTAAATGTAGTTGTAGTGTAGTGCAGTGTAATTAGTGTAGTGTAGCGTAGCGTAGTGGAGTGTAGTGTAGTACGTGGAGTGTAGTGTAATGTAGTGGTAGTTGTAGTTGTTGTAGTTGTAGTTGCAGTTGCAGCTGCACTTGCAGTTGTAGTGTAATGCAATGTAGTCAGTGTAGTGTAGTGTTGTGTAATGTAGTGTGGGTGTAGCTGTAGTTTTGTTTGTAGTTTTGTTGGTAGTTGTAGTTTGCTGCAGTGTAGTTAGTGTAGTGTAGTGTAGTTGTAATTGTAGTTGTGGTAGTAGTAGTTGTTGTAGTAGTAGTTGTTTGCGAAACAGTGTAAACTGCTGCAGCCACTGCAGCAAGCAAAGATTGACATTGGTTGGGTTGAACTCTAGCAGGGGTGGATGCTGTTTGTCCTTCGATCCCCTGGCTTGCTTCTCTTCAGCCCCGGTTCCCCATTCAAATTTCCCTCCGTTGGCGCATTCCAACCAACGCGTGAAGTCCAGGTATTTGCCGACATCCACTGATTCTTTAACGGGGAAGTTGGGGTCAAGAATAGGCTTTGCCTCGGGCCCCCAAAGAATCAGAACACCTTCCAAGGAACGAAGCCTCTCCTGAATTTTTCGGTTGTTTCCTACCCTGCAGAAATGATCAACTGGGTAGAACAAGTTTCTATGCTCCTGCATGACCTTTTGAAATGCGCTGCAGATGAATGAGCAGCTAGGAGATTTGCCGGCGTTGGGGTCGCCAACTGGGCAAGCCCACCACCGAGCCTTGCTGGTGAACTTCTCAGTTTCATCAGCGCACAACCCTACGGACAAATCTTTGTTCTGGCAAGAAGCCAAGCACGCCTGAAATAAATCAAATGCAAAAATTGCAGGCAAGCCACGGCCCCGATGCAAGTACTCACAAGCAACTGCCAACGGCTAACTTGTTGTTTTGGCGAGGGTTGACGGTAGCTTCGCTGCCTCCTCAGCCATTGGCCTTGACTCCCGGATCCTCTTCAAGTTCTCCATGGAATGCTGTAGGATTTCCTCAAAGGTATGATCTGCAACGCATTGGCTGTAATTATTGGGGAATCCGTTCCCAAATGTTTGACTGCTGCGCGCAGTCACCACGTGAATTGGCCAACATTGCAAAATAGTGCTCCACTTCTGCTCATTTGCTGCTTTCCTTGCTTCCTACCCTCCTTCCTTCTTTCCTTCCTTCCAGCCTTAGTTCCTTCCAGCCTTAGTTCCTTCCAGCTTCCTTCCTTCCATTTTCCTTCCATTTTCCTTCCATTTTCCTTCCATTTTCCTTCCATTTTCCTTCCATTTTCCTTCCTTCCTTCCATTTTCCTTCCTTCCTTCCATTTTCCTTCCTTCCTTCCTTCCTTCCTTCCTTCCTTCCTTTCCTCCTTCCTTTCCACTCCAATAATATTATTTTTTGATCCTTATTTTTTTGATGCTAATAATGCTTCTTTGATGCTAATAATATTTTTTTGATGCAGATGCCGTGTGACCTTGGTGATCCACCGACCCCCATTGGGGGTGTGCGTCCTTACAACAGGGAGGTGCATAAAGAAAAATAATATTAAACATTGTTGAGCGTGTTCTCATAAAAAGGGCACGAAAAATTCTTGGGAGTGTTCCCATAAAAATTGGTTGGATATGAGAAAATCTAAATGGGACTATTTATACGACAATGGGCCATGGGAGTATAATGGGGCTAGTTGTGATTAAATGGTGTTTTTGCTTGCTGTACCGCCAATATACATTTATTTGCCCAAGACATTATGGACTATGCCCGTTAAATATTCTTATTCGAGGTCTTCCCATCAAAACTATCAGGTTTCCGGTTATTTTTTGTGTTCCAAGATTTGGAACATATATAATATTAAAAAAACATATGCTAAAAGGAAACAAACTCGCGTTCCTGGTGTTTTGTTCCGAGGTGGGCGGTAGGGCGGCAGCCCTTACTCATCCATTGGATTGTAAGGGGGTTACCTGATAATTATATGGTGATTTTCTCATTTTAAAAGCACGATGAAGAACTGTCTTGCAACTCAGAGACACCGATTCAGCTGACAAGAAAGGTACAGTACCTTGAAAAAATGCAAAACCCAATGAACATGGTATTTTTTTCACATCCTCTTTCCACAATTTCAATCTTGGGTTCCTTTTCCATAAAATTCATAATCCTATCAAATATTATCAAATGTTCCAAGATGTTTCCGATTTCTGAGCCTCAAGCCACGACATCTGGGCCTCCCCACAAACGACCAATAGCCCAGACCGCTTCCCGCGCTACTAGGGGGTGGCCACGCGCAGCGGGGGCGGCTAAAAGGCGGAGCACCGCCCAAGCACCTGGTAGAAATGTCGAATGTGCTGGCCTTGTTGTTATCATATTATGTTATTTTATTATCGCAGTTATTATACAATAACATATAATAACATATAATGACTATAGTGCTCTTATTGTTACTATAATTCTTAGTGTCATTTTCATTATTGATACATTTTTTCATTACTGTGAGGATTAGTGTCATTGTAATGTGTGAGTATTATATTTGCATGCAGATTTGATCATTATTGTCTAGTATTAATCTATCAATACTTCTATTTTGACTATAAAATATATCATGAATTATTCTTGCCATTCTTATTTTCAAAATATCATGGTTACTATTTATTATTGTTACTATTATTACTATTATTGTTGTTGTTACTATATACTTACCATTATTATGGTGAATGATGATGCTCCCTTTTGGGTCAAAAACAGATGATATCTCTATTGATGGGAATCCCTGATCACCTGTGTTGAGCCGTGTCAATCTGGGGCATCAAAAAAACAGAATGGACCCCCCAAAAAAAAGATCAGAAAAGTGCGCATTATCACGTGAATATCTTTGAATGGTAAACAAAATCCTCTTTCAACTATATATTGTCTTTCTTTCTCCGAATGTTTTAATGGGGAGAATTGGGATTGCCCCCCCAGCGGATGGAGCCAACTCAGTTGCCAGCTGGTGCTGTGCCCATTGCACGCAGGCACCTTCGGATTTTCCATAGAGATGGATGGGCAAAGGAAAATTGCCTTGGTGCCAGAATGAATCGAATGGAAATGGAGTGACGCATCATGACCTCAGGAAGAACTTTCCAAGAATGCTGGGAAAAAACCGGAGGCAAGTCTCGCCGAGGAACGAGATTCTATGAACACGATGGCAGCCAAAATGTCAGAGACTCGACGATCCAGGCCCTCCTGCAGCATTTGAAACAGTGGATCTGGCGGTGAAATCATGGCATAGGGTGCTCCTGCAGCAACCGGTCGCGGCGGCCATCAAAGAAGGAATCCACCAGCCTCACCACGAAGAACTCCCCAGGGTTTTTCCCGTTTTTTTCCCTCTGAAAGTTTCCCCCATATCCTCTATCTCACATATATCCCACATATATATATATATCATGATATTTCCCACACGTTTCCCATATATTTCCCACATGACATTCCAAAAATCTCCCATCATCAGAGGAACACTGCAGTGAAGCCCGCTTCCCGAAAGAGCTGCGCGATCTCCGTTGCACCACCAGGGACTGGACCTGGACCTGGCTCCCGGATCATCCCAAACAGATAGGATTTCACCATACCAGCCATACCATACTCATCGCTATTATATCCCATTTTAACGGGGATTTATGTGCCTATCTGATTCATGTTCTATCTTTTGGGGGATGACAATATGGATCTATATGGAAGATGTTTCAACTATATGTTTCATCTCAAAAATTGAAACCCAAATCTGAAACCTCCAAAATGGCCTCCATCGGAGTTTCCCAGCCAGTCTTCTTCCATACCATGGAGGATCAACACCGTCCCATTGTCAGGCACCTGCCGGCTAACTCTTTGCCGAATGGCTCATAGAAACTTCAATATGCTCGACACAAACAATCTCCATTCATCACCATTCATCACCATTTCATTCATCACATATTTTCCATGGTCCCAATGGTGGTCCCCGGCAGCCTTGGGGATCAAAGAGAACAGCCTCAACGCCCCCAAGGGCTGCGGAAGACGAATGCCATGACCTGTCGAAAAATATCGAACAAACCTGGGATAGAGATGGGATAGGTATATCCCACCATCATGGGGTTAATTGGGATTTATTATTTATATATATATAATCTTTATGTATTCTAGGGATAGATATTATGTATAAATATACATAATATATATATACATACATACATTGATGTTATATAGCCATAATGGGATTGGTGGGGATTCATATAGCCATTAATAATTGAGTCATTCAGTATAAACATGTATAAACAAGTATAATCGTTTATTCTTAAGCTTCTCTGAAGATATGGGATGATCCCTATTTCCAGATATTTCCATCACAGACATCAATTTGTCCACGCGCCTAACAAGGGTTCCAGTGGCAGCGCGGCCATCACTACATCGAAGCTGGTACTGACTCCTGGTGGTCCTTGGCCTTGTGTGAAAGCGTTGTTGCGATGTCGTCATTGGGCGTTTATCGAGGTGAAATTTGAGAATGAAAGGCATCCCCAACTATTCTCAACTCCAAACTTCTTGATTTCCCCGTGTTGATTGTGATATATTGTGATGATTGTAGTTGATTGCTGTGAGAGGAAAGGTCTTCGGCATGATAAAGTGGCAGTGTCTTTTTCGCACGAGTGTTCTTCACTTGAACCCAACCAGCTTAAATGAAGAAGCTCCAAAGCTACAGGAATCCACCAAAGACCCAGTACCTCAGCATCAACTGTCATCAACTTGGCTCCTTCACACCAATGTGTTCCTCCCACTTCTCGAAGTAATCGTAGCCTTCCTGGTGGCTTCGGCTTCAGCGGCTTCAGGTTGGGGCAGGAAGCCACCCATCCTCAACATTTGGTCACCTGTTTTGGGCAAGATGGGCAAAGCTGTTTACTGTGGGTCCATCCATGTCTATCCCTAAATAACATAAACATACATAACATCCTGATACCCCGGATGGAAATCCACCAAAATGTCCAGTCAGGGAGAGGACACAAATCGTCAGAGCAACACCCATCCCTTCCGCGCTGCTGGCATCCGAAGTGCCCAGGCAAACTTCACACTGTCCAGCAAGCTGTACCTGGCAGATTCCCGACCTAGTTGAAAAGTTTTTTTTTGTGGCAAAAAATACGACAACCACCAAAATACCACCAAAATGGACGAAATTATCCAGATTTCTGGCCACAGCCTTGTTGTATCCAGATAAGAATCAGCATCATTCAGCCTTTCAGCAGACCTACGCCCTTCGAAATTCAGAGATTTTGAGCTGCGCTGGGTGGTGGCACATCATTCTGCAAATTCCGGAGGAATAGCCTCGCAGAACGCAGTGCCGTACTGCTGGAACTGATCAAACATCTACATGGCTCAGGTTATCTCTTCAATTGCCAACACTCTTGTGAACCACCGTCAATTCCAACGTGAGGAATTTGGTTCAGTTTCCAGATCTCCAACTCTTGTCAACTAGTTGAAGCATTGTCATCAACGACATTAATTAGAGATATTTAGAACCATTTCGAATATTTAGAATATACATTCTAATATATACAATTGTAACACAAGTATACACAAGTCAATAATCGACATTAATCAACATCAATCTGTGCAACTTCTATAATGATCTGCCAATCTCGCATGGATTTCCGAGTCCCAGAGCCGCCTGTAGAGCCTTGCCCAGAGCCGCGGAGCTTGTCGATGTTCAACGTGCGCCTCAGGTCTTGTCGACATGTCAAGACCGGCCTTGAACATCGCAGATTTTAAGGCCCGAAGTACATTTTTGGCCGCCATAGTTATCATAGTGCCATAGTAACAGCCATCTTATAGCCATAAAACCATAGTAACAGCCATAGTAACAGCCGTAGTAACAGCCATGGTTATAGCTGGTTAGGGGCCATGGCTTGACCAACTTGGATTCCACACCAGCCGCTGCGGGAAAGCTCTGTGGCAATGGAATTGCCGATGACCCCAGCACCAATGATGATGGCATCCTTAGTCGAATCAGGCTGATTATGTGCTTAAGTTCTGCGCTGGATGCCGCTGGTTTGCTACGCTTCTTACGCTTCGACTATAGAGGTATGGATCGAAATTGCTGACTCATCTGACTCGGCAAATTGGTTGTGAAAAACAAAAAAGGGGTCAGCGACATAGCTCCAGCTACACGCTGGAAGTATGGATCACTTGAGGCATCGACATAGCTCCTGCGAATTGTACGGCTCGACAGCAATGTGGCGAACGCAAAAGAAACTTCATGTTGGTTTTGCATCATTTTTGATCGTCTCAATACAAGTATGAACAACAGATCGTGTAAACAATTGAAACAGAAGACGAAACAAACCACTCACAAGGCATTGTTTTGTTGATTCAGCAAACTCACAAAGTGGGCAGCCTCACTTATTGTTTTTTTTTTTCGACTTCCATCGTCGCTAGCTTTTTCCGGCAAGCTTTGGCCAGCTTGCAAACGGCAAGTGGCTTACCGGCCATCACTAGAGCTCCAGGGCAACCTTGATCACATTGTCTTGATACCTGAGATCGAACCCGCTAACCCCTCAAGTTGGGATAAGCACCCCTTATGCCAATGTATGTATAGTATAGTGTAGTGTAGTATAGTATAATAATGTATAATATAATATTATATAATATTAGATAATATATGATAATATGATGGAATATAATATAATATAATATTATATTAAATTATATATATTATATATATAAACCTATAATATCCTACAATCATATATGTGTATATATATATATATTAATCCCCTTGGAAAACTGGGATCGAAGTGAATATCACCGGCGCCAAGAGGCTCAGTTGCCGTGCTGAAGGCCTTCTGAATCTCGGACAGCGGAAAGCTGTGGGTGATGATGCCTTGCACAGTAAAGTGACCCTGGTTTCTGTGGGAAAAACATAAACATAAAACTCCCATTTAATGGGAATGGTAAAAAAATGCCACCTATATATTTCTGGTGAAATTTAAGGGATGGTTTATGAAATTGTTTTACCCGCATTATGCTGCTTCTTGCCTGGGGTCATCCAAAAAGAAGCCAAAGATGGGCCACAGACTCCACAGGCCGCCTTCCGTATCGAACTGCCCTCGTTCCAGCAGTTCCACTGCTTCAGGGAAATCTACACCTGCAGCCAGGGTTGCCAAGTGTGTAAGCGGTTCAACTGTTGATGGCCAATTCGATCAGAGAAACACTGTAAGATGATATACATATATATATATGAATATACAAATATATGTATATACAAATATATGTATGTATATATATATATGTATATATATATATATGTATATATATATATGAATATATATATATATATGAATATACAAATATATGTATATACATATATATATATATATGTATGTCTATATATATATATATATATGAATATACACATATATGTATATATATATATGAATATATAAATATATGTAAATATGAATATACATAATATATATATATATATTCATGAACTTCCACACTACCCCCCCCCCCGTACCCCCCTACAAAATATTTAAGGATTTGACCATTTCTGAGCTCCTTGTTAGTATACTAATAAGATATTATTAGTATGCTAATAAGGAAAACAAAAAACATTTTTGGATAGAAGCCTTAAATGTATATTATTAGCATACTAATAATATGCTAATAGTAGCTTAAAATTAGATAGCAATTAAGGCCTAAAATCCATTACGTGTGATTTTGCATCCAATTCCTTATTAGGCACCTAATCTGGTCCGCATTAAGAAAAGTGCCATTTTGGTTATTTGTCTCCTAATAAGGATTTGTATCCCCAAATCATACAAAAACTTAATAGTATGCTATTAATTCGATTTTCATCCTTATTAGGTTACTATTAAGTTTTTGTATCCAAGCCCGGTTTTGGGGCAAAATTTCCTTATTAGCACCCTAATAAGTTTATATACAAAAAAATGTATAAAAAATATTAGCATGCTAATAAGGCATTTTTTCATTATTAGCATGCTAATAATGATTCATACAAAACGCCAAAATCAATCCTTATTACGCTACTAATTATTTTTAGTTTGTATCCACCCAATTTTTCTAATTAGTAGCCTAATAAGAAACCAATAAATTCATGGATACAAACCGATTTTCTTATTTATTATCTAAAAAAGTGATTGGGGGGATACGGGGGGGGTAGTGTGAAAGTTCATGATATATATGTATATAATTGTATATATATGTATATACATATATATATATATATATCTGGTTGGTGGTTTCAACCCCTCTGAAAAATATTAGCCAGTTGGGATGATTATCCCCAATATATGGAAAATGTTCCAAACCACCAACCAGATATGTATATATATACATAATTATATGTATATATAGAGATGTTGTACTAGTTTCTTCATGTTTGTTCATATGTTCACAACTTCAAACTGACCTATATGAGATGACTTGAACATCTGGACGTCACCAGAAGTCTCACATCTTTACGTTAGGAAAACATCAGGACTGATGTCGTCACTCCATCAACGGTGATTGAAACATGATGATTTCACTGTGGGGGACCTGGATCTGGATACACCGACGCCATCAACACCACGTTCTTCCGAAAAAACTTCTCGAAGTGAAAGTGGTAGACCTTGGTTTGTCGTAGGCATCAAGAAGACGAACATCCTACCAGTGAGACACGAGTACCTCACATTCGGAACCCTTTGTCAGGTTCAAGAACGCAACTTCACGGGATCTAGAATACTTCGCATGTTCGGACAATTTGTCAAGTCCCTCTGAACGTGGAGGAAGCTCCCAAATCCTCAGCAAACAACCCAGTTTCCAAACATCATTTACAGCTTCTATAGTCATGTCATGTCATTTGGTTATGGCTCAAAACCCTGGTACCCAAATGGTATCCAAAGTCACGGCTAGTTAAAATTTATCATATTAAGATGCTTATTCCCTCAGTCATATGATATAATTTCATTTCAAATTTCATAGGTTTTGACCATTTTTGACCTATCCCATCCCCATTTCTACCGATGTCCACATCGTTTTTCCCTTGGCACGACTAAGCTGTAGCCGTGTAGCGGGATCATCAGGCACACCAAAGGCCACCACAGTGCCACCGCTCTTTACCAAGTCCAAGGCTTCGTTGATGGTCTCCTCAGCGAAAAATCTGGGTATGTTCCATTACCATGGTTACCAGGGGGCATTTCCAATAAATATCTTATATAATACAATAATATATATATATATAGATATAAGATATTTATAGTATTTATAGTTATATATTTATAGTTATATATCTTCTTCCAATCCCCATCCCCATCCAACCCCTTAAAACTCATGTTTCTCCAATGTACTTTGCCATCCCATCCTATCCCTGCCCATCCTCATCCCTTCCCACATATCAACATATTTTTGAGTCACAATTCCCATCACTTCCCCAAGAACATATTTCCAGATCCCATCTCCTCAATTCCCAAAATCTCATTGGAGATCATTGGAGACTTAAGGAAGTCTCAAAATTCCCAAAAGTATTTCCACCTCCCCAATCCCCCATTTCCCCCATTTCCCCATCCCCATCTCCTGGTTATGTCCCACCATCTCCAGCACCACGTCCGCCCCTCGTGGCGCCACCGTCCTCACTGCCTCCAGCGCCGCTTGTCCCGGCGCCGTCGCCGCGGTGGCGCCGAAGGCGCCACTGGCGGCCACCGTGCGGCGGTAGAGCAATGGCTCCACGGCGATGATGTGCCTGGCACTGGAGAATCACTGGTGCACAATGGTGAAATACCACATGTTCCTAAGCTTTTCCAAGTTTTTGATGTTTTTTCCTTGTTTTTCCTAAGTTTTTCTATGTGTTTCCATGGTTTTCCATTTTAATACTGGTTGAATGAATGTATTTTCGATGTTCATGTCAACTTATGTAATATCGACATTTTTAGTTCAGAATTCCCCAATGAACCAGGTAGGTAAATAACCAGCGACATATATTTTTGATGGCTTGCTTGAAATGGGGATTGAGAATCAGGGTGAAATAGTGGTTGGCCACTGGATTAACTTCTCTTAGCTTGCGCTGTCGGGAGTTTCCAGGGTTTCCGGCAGTTTTTCCAGTTGAACATAGGACAAATGCATAGCAAAATCCAGGGACATGTAGCGGACCTGTATGAACCATAGCTGCTATAGCTATTTCTTGGGGGGTCACAAACCACCACTTGACATGGCTGTCAATTTTCCACAATGGTTGTTAATCGTCCACTGCAATATTAACCATCGTTGACGATTCATGAAGGGGGCCGTTTTGACCATGGCACCTGTGGGTTTTTACAAATGGACAATGAGTCGCACCCCATGGCACCCCGGGTGCACCTGGCACAAAGCTGGGACAGTAGCCGAGTAGCCATGAGTCCATTCTGGCCTTGCCTCGCTGTCAAACTGGAAACGCCATCGATATTTTAAGCATTTTAATGATGTGAAAAATGCGGGAAATCTGTGGAAATATGGGATGATTTTATTGATCAATTCTTGGACTTTGGGGCCCTGTTTTGAAACAAACCCACCGATTTCCCGAAAGTTTCAGATTGTTTCACACTCCTATCATACTCAGCTAATGGTTTCTTTTTCATCTCCAGAACATACAGTATATAATTTTAATATATATATATGATTATATATATAGTTAATATAGTTATGATTGTATATGTATATGATATCACTTCCATCTTTCATCAAAATTCCCATCGTTACCGGTTGGATCCCAATGAAATTCCATGGGGATCGACGTTTTTCGGTCCACTCCGAAGTCTGGGGAGCCCTGGCCCTTGCACCACCACGGTTTTGCCCACCACGGAGCCTAGTCTCCTGGCATTACCCCGGTCCTATCGGTAGATCTGGGGGCTGGATTCCGGGATTCCTGAACAAAAACTAATATGAAAACATTGGATCTGATGATCTGATGATCTGATGATCTGATGATCTAATGATGATCACTTTAAGATGCTTCTTAGTCTTCTAGTCTAAACATGTCTAAACCAAAGGCTTGGCATTGTTAACGACGTCTTTCAAACAATGCAAAATCGCGTAGACCACTTGATGGCAGCCGAAAGTAGGACCCCATGCTTGACATCTTTCCATCCTAGGTGGATTTTGTCCTCAAGGCACGCAGAATGGTTGCCACCGCTTGCGCCAATAGCATTCGAGGTTGGCACTCCTGACATCTCCATTCACTGTAGCCTTGCATTAAAAAAGTTACAGTACCAGTATTTCATAGTGTTTCATAGCTATTTCACATTTCATGGCTGGACTCACAGCTCTCCAGAGCTCTCCTTCACTTTGTAGGTGTACAACTCATGGCTCGTGAAGATCTCCTGAGATTGTCAAAATTCGGAGATCAGTCTGGGATGGTATCAATATGTATCAATGGACCCTGATTTATCTGCTGATTTCTTGGGCCTTCTTTGCCTTCATCCACCATTAGGAGAACCATGGAGAACGGTAACCCAATCGGAGATCGGAGTCATCCGAGAGTCGCAAAAGGCACCTCTCACAGGAGAAGTTTTCAACAGGACCTCAGCCAACTCAGCCGCCATTGGAATTTACCCCCAAGCATCTACTGGTTCCAGTAATGTGGGAAAAACAATAATAAACCACCCATGACTGGGAATGGTTTATACCACCTATTTATCTATGTATGGTGAAATTGGGGATGGTTATGGATGGTTTATGATTGTTTTTCAACATAATTACATCAATCTTACACCCCCATGTTGGGGGACACAATCATTTATTGCTTGCTGGAAAAAACAACCGGTCAAGAAAGGATCCATCAACTCCAAGTGCAGCACATTGTGAACCTTCTCGTCGAACCAGTCGGCACGTTTCGATACATGGGACTGACAGGGCTGTTGCATATCAAGACGTAGACTAGGAACAAATGCCCTCGACCCACCTCGCAATTCAATGCAATTTCATACACATCCATGAGCAACAATCTCTGGAAGCAAGATGAAGCAAGTGTGATTTTGCAGAAATATTTTCATGTCCAAATCAGAAATCCTTTTCCATCCTTTTGCATCAGTTTCTTGATGTTCACCGTCCAAACCGGAGAACGACTCGCCTTGAAATACGAGGAGGGCAGCGACAGGACCGTGTCGCCAATCGCGAAGCGATCAGACCGGGAGTCTAACACGACGCCGACAGCCTGATATCTGGGGCATTGCTCCACGGAAGTCGCTGGAAATTGGGGGAAGCGTATGAAAACATGAAGAATTTTGAGGTTCTGATAACATGTGATACTCTACTCAAATTTTACTTCCCTACAACTCTGGGAAAATTGCTGATCATTTGTGTGAGTATAGGGACAAAGATGTGTATTGATGTGTGTTTTCGAAGGGTATGGCTGCCAGAAGTAGCAGCTGATCTTCAACAACAGCCGCATGATGCTACTCATCACCACTCACGACTATCATCAGCAAAATCGTTCTATGACATAAACATCTATACTATTCTATACTATTAAGTGTACAATATGATGCCAAACCTTTAAACTTTATCATAATTCAGATATCGGCTCTGGCTCAAAGATTGTATTCTTTGGCAACCATCCTGGCAACGTGCACCTCGTGGCCGCAGAAACCATCGCGATCCCAGTAGCTTGCAGGGTCGCGTTTCTCTCCTGGATTCGGCAACCGAGACCCGTACGGGTGCAGCAACAAGTGGCGGTGCAGGGATGGATACCATGATATGGTTATCATGATTGGGACATAATCATGATATGGTTTTCTTAAAACCAAACCAACTGATCATGTCCCAAAACTGCAGTTGCAGTTTCATTATGTTTCATCCCTGGTGAGAGGGTGCTGCTGCATTTCTGCCATCAATTCCACACTGTGCTACACATGGCCCAATTCGTGCCCCTTCAAACACATTTCGTAGCGAACTGAGCAATGGAATCTCTGCCTTTCAGCCAGGTTTCTGAAGAATGGAAAGTCAGAGCCACAGAGTGATGCATACTTCGCGCGGATCAGTAGCGAGCCTGTGCCAGGCACGGCCCTTGTGAAAATGCGTGATCTGGCCCCCATGAATGACTGGCAACCTGAAACATTTAACGCATCACTGCTTCAATCAACTGAGGCTCCATGTCAGCTTTGAAACTGTCACATTTCCCGCTGCAAAACGCAGGTGTCCAAACCTGGAGGGCATTCCTCCAAACGAGGGATCGGAGATCGCAAGATGCGAAGCGCCTGTTGTATGTCTCAGACTGCAAAAGTGAATCCGTGAACTGGGTCCCTTGGCCAATATTGGCCATATTGGCGGGTTCGATCCGGTTGTTGGCTCCTCTGCTTGGTCATCCATCCCACTTTGGGTAATCCTCAAAAATGAACCTTTTGTAAGTCACCAAAATTATGAGGCATCGAAAATTTCCACATATAATCACATATAGTAAAATTGTAGATGATTTATTGGTTTATTCATGATGTTTCATGGAACATTTCTAACATTTCCATGGCAAACTGTTAAATGACCAGAGGGTAATCCACTGCTGGTTCCCAGCAAAAGGGGCACCTTCGAACTCAAAAACCTGGCGGCTGCACAGGAGCCGTCCTGTTGGATACCTTGGGCCAAGTTGGCAATGCCGCAATGCCGCAATGCCAAAATACGAACGACGTCGATGATGTCGGAAGTTATGGATTCTGTGGATTTTTATGGATTCTGTGGATTTTTATGGATTCTTACCATTTTTTCGCAGAATTTTGCTACATTTGGGCTGAGAAACGAATAACACCATCAGTATATGCGCAGAGCTTGAAGCTCCCGAGCTATCGGAGCTGTAAAGTGATGGTAAATGCAACAAGCAACGGCAAAGTCATCTATTTATCCCTCATTTCCCAAGTTAACTGTCATTTGACACAAGTCGATACTTTTCCATACCTTTCCATACCTTTTCGACCAAGAAACCTGAGGGTTGCAAGAGCAACCTCCCAAACATCTCAGCTCTGTGGAAATTCACTTCAGCATCATCCGGATCAATCCAGCTGGTCCAGATCATCCTTAGCCCAAGAGTTTCAACCACCAACGATGGCAACGGCAATAACATAACAACAATCCAAGACCCACAAATAATAGTCAATAATCATCAATCATAGTCAATTAAACCATATATTTTCAGCCAATAGTCTCAAAATCGACATGGTATTTTGACATATATATACATATATATCATATATATATATATATCATATATATATATATATCACATATATATAAACATCACTTATAAAATGATCACCAAAAGTAACGCCCAAGGCTCCCCTGCAGCAACCTCTGCGCCTCCTCTGCTCCCAGCGCTTCCGACAGGTCGCCTGTTGGATGCTGCGCGCGGTGCAGCCCCAGGCGGATCTCCTTTCGGTGGTCCTGGGGGCCATGGAGAGACCATGGAGCCATGGTGAAGGATTTTCAATTGGAGATCTATGGAAATCTATGGCCGAATGGAACTGGAATGAACTGGAACTATAGATCAAAATCCATGTCAAAATCGATGTTTTTCATTTATACATCTCTTGATTTCATGAAAAAAATCCTTGATCACAAGACATCATAAGTATCAGAAGACTGGTCTTAGTATGTTTTAGTCGATGGTGATCAACAGATATCAACAGATCAACTCAGCCGAGATGCCAAACCCAGTGCTTCCCATCTGAACTCTCCAATGACCTCAAAAGATCCCAAAAGATCCTCCAGTGCAACGTCCACCACCAAGGTGACTTCGTAAAAGGCAAGTTGTCTGCCCTGACGGAATATCATAAAGTATTGAGAAAACGATAGAAAACGGATAAAACATGATAAGACATGATAAAGCACATTAAAAGAAAGACTCTGAAAGACCATTCAAAGCATCAAAGGTTGATGTTTCCATGCCATGAAGTTTCCCCCTGCCAGCTGCCGAGTTACCACTCGACAGCTGAGGGCTTTGGTGGCACAGTCGCCCTCAGGACCCACCGAGACCTCTTGGGTCCAGACCTTGGCAGAGCGGCCCAAGAAGTGGCAGGAGATGGCAGGAGATTTCCGTGAGAAATTCCATGAATACCAGATATTATTGTTCAATACCAATATAGCATATATATATATGTAATATTTATAAATCGCATACATCATCAAAGATGGCGGTTCACGACCCAGCACAATCCAAATTATCCAATGTGTTGGGCAAATCTTGTGGATTGACAACGGTTGACATGAATCAGGATAAAATGCATGCTGCATGCTCTCATTCACCATGAAAAACACCAACAGCAACACTAAGTCCGCGACAGCAAATGCATTGGAGGCGTCCCAATCGAAACCGAATCGCCCCCCAAAGTGAGCTCGGTTGGTCAACACCTAACAGTCCAACTGGGGTCCACTGCACACAGGCGTCATATGGCGTCATGACAGCTAAGCTCTGATGGATGGTTAGAATTCCATGGTATCCATGGATCGTATCCATCATTCTCCATCATTCTCCATCATTCCCACAATTCCTCACATGTACCGCAGGCAGCACCTTGCCACCATAGTTGATCTCGAAGGCAAAGTATGTCTCCTCGCTCGAATTCCCTGCGTCAGATGGGCGGGGATGACATGTGGTCAGGGGTGCATCTACAGGGTACGTTTGATTATTCACCACAACAAGGAGTGGTTGGTTTTATAGAAGTTGTACTGCTGAATTACGACATCTGAACATTGCGTATAAGTCCGCCCAATATTAGTTTTGGATGTTTGATTGCTCTTCTCGCTTAGTTGATGTTTCAAATTGCATCTAAAAATTCCAGATGTGCATCTTTCAACATCAATTTGAATCTTCAGATTTTCATACATTTTCACATGTTTTCACATATCTGGTACCCTTTGGTTGCCATTTTCCAACCAACTTGGAACGACCCCGCGGTCGCCGGCCGCCTGGCTGCCACAGGAAGCACTCCACGCGCTCGTCGAAGAGCAAACTCTGCTGATCGCTGGAGAGCGTCTTCAACGCACCCTGCGATCTGGAACTGAAGGGGAAGATGACAATCTGACAATCTGAGTAAACATGAGTAAACCATGCGAATGTATGTATGTATTTAAGATTGTATATTAATATATATATATATATAGAGAGAGCAATAACATGCAATGATTATATGTATATACGTATGACTGCTTCTTGTTCTTGTTCTTGTTCCTGTTCTTGTTGTTGTTCTTGTTCTTCTTCTTCTTCTTGCTGGTGAAGAATCATGAATAATCATCAAATGTTCAAATCGAGATCAACCAATTCTGGCCTCCAGCAGTGGGGCCTCCTTCAGCCGCACTGGCACCGCCAGGTCGCCCTGAAGCTCCCAGCAAACATAGAGGGCCTCGGCCACCGAAACTGGGGGATGGACCACCAAAATGTTCCTTTAAAAATATATGGAAAAATATGGAAACATATGATGATTGTCATTGACATTGATTGACATTGATCGACATTGATCGACATTGATCGACATTGATTGACTCATGACTAAGCATTTTCATGAGGCTATCCCATTTTCAGACAAACCTCCGGAACGGCGGAGCTTTCCCTGGCTTCCCGGCACGATCGTCCCACAGTAATCGCAGCGTGCTTGGAAATCCTTCCGGCCCAGGCCACTTCCGGGGTTTTCTCAAGAAACCTCGGAAGTGCAGATCCCAAAGAGCCACTTCATCCAGCCTTCAGTTTTCATCCAACTCCAATCTGGTTCCAATCTGGAATTAATATATATATATATATTATATATATATATTATACATATATTCTGTAAGATAATTGCCATCCACATCCTTCCGCTTTGAAGTCTTCTTGATGGGCACAACGTCTATCAACATTGACGAACATTTATCAACATCAGCCATGATCAGCCATGAGCCAAACGCTACTTGGCGAGAGGCAGGGTGATGCCGCTGAAAATGCATGGTAGGGCGACACCGCGTCCAGCGGGGATGTGGTCGTGTGCAACGCAGCCACCTGGAAACAGGGAAACATGGACTGCAGATTGCCAGAGGAATCGGCATAATCGGCTCACTGAACATTAGCTTTTCAACTAATTATAGTAAAAATAAAAAATGGTTATTCCTACTATCATGATGTTAGCGATAAATCATGATAAACCAACTAACTATAGGGATGATCGTGTATGAACAACTATCAAGGAAACCATGCTCCATCCATCTCAATCCTCATGATGTTCATGACATCCTGACACTGATTCCATCGAATCGGACGGAGCCCAAGATCACATCGGAGAGATGATCAAACCATCATTTTGCATTTAAACCTTATATAAACCTTCGAAGATCTCACAAGTATAGTGAAATTAAAGGGCTTGAAAACATGCTTTTACCAGCTAAACAATCCACACTGAAACTGCTTCCGCCTCATTTTGGGCCTGGCTGAGGCTCATTTACCTGATGAGTGTGGCACAAAAAGCATGTGCAATGAGCCATGGATGTCATGGATATGGCTTTGGATCAAACGTGTATGAAACACCAATCAAGTGTTGATCATTGAATATATCCAAGAAGTTTTTTTGGCCAAAGCCATACCGGCATACCACACCCATATCATCCACAGCACCCTGCCTGATGGCACGGAGTCATAGCTCGATCGTTACATCCCAAAGGTTTGGCTCAAAATTTCGGGCAGCGGAGAAGCGACGAATGGCAACATCAACGGCCACAATCGATTCATCCTGAGATCTTCAATATTCAGACTCAAAGATATTGCTTGGTTCCTTTCACTGAAATGTATGATATGTATTCTGGATATTCCAATGTAATATATATCACATTATCTCACATTCTCGCACTATACGAGTCACATTTTATTCACCACGAATGGGGTGTCCACATGAAACAACCCCATCAATCGCCATGGACCATCGATGTTCAGCCGCCGTGCAGCTCCTGGTGCTGAAACTTCGATGGCCGCAGCGGCCGCCGTGGCCCCTGCGTTGAAGCACTCGCCTTGGGTCGCAAGACACGGATGAGAGTTTCACTGGATTGGTTTAAGGGAAAATCTACAGGAAACCATGGTTTTTACCATCAAATTTTGGGCTTTCCTGTAAATTTTCCCATCATCCAATTCTATGAGAGTTATGATTCATGATCCAAATCGTCATTTATAACTTGCTATAATTTGCTATCCATGTTAAACAGAAGTCACTTAAATCTTGTTACACCATATCACCACTGGTATACTATAGTTACTATACGTATTGCTACGCATGATTACATCATTCTTATATATTCTTATTACGCTGTTACTGGGATGCACATTCAACTAGAAATGGCGAGATGGTTCTCCGAGCCTGGCTGCGAATGACATGGCGAAACCCGATGCGGATGTCGTCACGAAACTTGCGGAGACATGTCACGATGTTCCTATAAACGACACTTGTCTTGGAAGACTTCGTAGTCTTACCAGACTTGGAAAATCCACACTTTTGGCTCCCAGGTGACATTTTGGCTGCTGGCAATACTGCTGCATTCCAATGCTGCAGGTCTTTTGAACATGTTTTAACTTGTATTTGTTGGCTCTGTTTCAAATGTTTCAAGGAACTTACTACGGAAATGCCTCCGGCAAACACAGCACTTTTTGAAGCTATAGTCATTGCCTCACTTTCCTCATTTTCTTGCCTGTCTCAAGACAACACTGTTGAGAGTTGTCCGACTTTGCCAAACCCCTGAAGCGATGGTCCTTTCACAGCGGCAGAACGTTGTGCGGTCTGGGCAACTTATGCCCATTGAAACCTTTCCAATGGCCCCTTGGCCCAACTCACTTCAACTGCAGCATGGTTGGGTGGAACAAATCACGTTGTCCAACACATGGACCTTACCCTACTTGAGGTTTTGCTATGACTGCTGCAGTTCCTACGTGTCAAGGTGCGGAAAACTTTGTCACTGTCCGCAGATCGTAACGCAGATCGTCCCTTCTTCAGAGCACATCTTCGAACCAAGGGAAAACAAGAAATCATTTTAGGATATTAATGGATTAACATATCCTAAATGGGTGTTGATATCTTCAGATCTAATCCCATGAATGCTGTTGGTGTTATCTTCCATTAAATCCAATTGCTTGATGATTTTGTTGTATACGTAGTTGTTCATAGAGTTTTTCAGCTAAGTCGTGCTCCAAACCCTGAGCCCGGAACCATCCCGGAACCCAGGCCTTAAATATAAAAAAATAAATAAACGATTCCTCCAGGCGCCAAAATCTTCGGTACCTGGCCATCCGGAGAGGTTCATCTGCACCTTAAAATAGCTGGTGAATGGATGGTTCTTCCCCCAGTCATATGGTAATCGGTTTTGACCCCCATATCAACACATTTCTGGAAATTTGGGAGGTTGGACACTTCTGGAAATTGTTGGAATCTTGCCCCGGAATTCTGGGCTGGAACCCATTCCAGCCTCAAACTTGGGGGAAGCCATAGCCTGGCGGCCATGCCATGGGAAGCTCCAATGCGGATGGAAAATATGGATAAAGATTGGACGATACATCCCATAATGGGAATACCTATAATATCCATAAGTATCCATTAATATCCTATAATGACGATATCAATCCCTATGGCTTTGCCTCAGAAACTACCGTCCATTCCGATATCGGAGATGGCCCTGCCCACGCCTGGCAAGGTCAGAGCCAACCCGGCCAGGACCAAGACGATGGAGAGGATCTGAGTTCGTCGATTGAACCGTGGCCATGACCGGAAGGGCAACAAACTTATCCTCTGGTAAACTAAGATAATTATTGAAAATGACCATTCATTACTTGATTTACCTCTTAAACATGGTGATTTGCCATAGTTATGTTGGCTTATCAGAGGGTAGTGGAACAAGAATCTGTTGGTGAAACGATTTGGGTTCAACCTGTTGTTTCCAAGCCTGGGCTGAAAGTTCATATGTTGGAAACCACCAGCGACCATCAGACCCCCCATGGAGTTTCTCCATCCGCCTGCTGTCCTGGAGTTACTTCATTGATGGCCTCAGGATCCAAAATTTCACAGCAAAATGGCTGTGATTATTGGGATGTTCAGTGCGCTATGTGGTAAGTTGATGTAAACTCATTGATGTAAGTTGTAGGTTTTGACCCATCCTAAGTTTGGAAGTCTTGAAGTCTTGGAGACACCCAAATCAGACTTTGTCCAACCACTTCTTCGCCATTTCATTCAGAATCCTGGCCGGGGAAATACTACATAGCCGCGGTCAAACCATTGAGTACAGCAATCTCATCAAAATGCTATGAAAGGTGAACTTTACATACATTTACCGGTTTTTCAGGTATTTCAGCATATTTCAAAATACTTTACAATATTTTACAATATGTTACAGCTGATTTTCCTATGATTTTTCCCCACCTGCCAGGTGAGGGTTGTTAGATTTTATCACAGCTGTTCCGGCTCCTCCTCCTCCTCCTTCTCCTCCTCCTCCTTCTCCTCCTCCTTCTCCTCCACCACCTCTGCCTCCACTTCCACGTCCACTTCCGCCTTGCCAACTCTTCGCTCTTCGCCAACTTCCGCGCGCAGTGGGCACTGCTGGACCTCAACTGCCGGCTTCCGATCTGAGTGGGCACGGCTGGACCTCAACCGCAAGATTCTGAGCGCAGTGGGCACCGCTGGACCTCAACCAGGGACCTTCCGAGCCCAGTGGGCACCGCTGGACCTCAGCGGCCAGATGGAATGCCAGAATATATGCCAGATAGACTGCCAGAATATATGCCACGTAGAATGCCACATAGAATGCAAAAAAATATGCGAGAAAAAATGCCACATAGAATGCCAGAATATATGCCAGATAGAACGCCAAAATATATACCTGATAAAATGCTGGAAGATATGCCAGATAGAATGTCAGAATAGATGTCAGATAGAATGTTAGGTAAAATGTCAAAATATATGTCAGAATATATGACTTTAAATGCCAGGGTGGGGATCACTCGAAGTAAGGTAATTACTACTTTTCCTGGATGTTTTACTATATTTTCGTGGCATTTTGGTGATGTTCTACAACTTCTGCCTCTAAAAATCCCAAATCCCGCCTCTTTCGGCGGCGCTTCAGCTCCACCCTGCCAGATCAAAACCTGGGCTCCAGCGTCCCGAAATGGGATATGAAAAGGTATGGGTATATAAACATTATATGGAATTTTAAGGGAATTTTAGGGGAATTGTATGTATGTAAACTAAAGTGTAATACAATGAAATATACAAGTCGTACCGCACAAGGCGGTGGCGGAAGTGCGTATATATGTATATATGTAAAATATATATGATATAATAAAACATAATAAAAAATAATAATAATATGATATAAAATAAGATATTTGATAAAATATAACATAGTATAATATATATATATATGATATATTAAAACAGATGTGAAATGATAAAAAATAATGTGATACAATATATATAATATAAAATCGATATAAAATAGTAAAATATAATATAATATGATATAATACAAAATCAAAATAAAACAGTATAATATAATATAATGTGATGTAATATAACAAAATATAATAAACATAATATATCATAAATAAAATATAAAAAAATATAAAATAATATATAATATAATATAATATAGTATAATATAATATAATTTATTATAATATATTATATGATAATATATGATGGTATGATATGATATGATATGAAACGATAAAATTAAGATAGTATAATATAAAAATAGAATCATCAAATATAATATGAAATGATGGAAAATAATGTATATGACAAAAAACAATAATATAATATGAAATGTAATATAAACAGATATATTTTGATATAATAAAATATTTTAAAATGTAATATGATATGAAATGATATGATAATAACTATGATATAAAATAAGAAAATAAAATACAATATAATAAACTATAATAAATATGACTTGGTATAACATAATAAAAAATAAATAAAAATGTATAACATGATATAATAACATATATACTATATATTATATATAATATAAAGTAATACAGTATATAGTATATAATATATTTAAAACATATAATAAACTAATATAAATATATATAATATATAAAATGATATACTATAATACAAAACATAAAACACAGAATATATAATATACATTGACCAGCCCCTGGCTGGCTTGAAAGGTTTCGCCAGTTTTGGTGCATGCCGGGGGGTATTGGTGCCCGATTCTTCCCGACTGGTGCAAACCTGGTGCAAGGGTGGGTCTGGGCTGTTTTTTGTGCATCGGCTGGCCGGTGCACGGAAATCAAACATGGGTGTTGGAAAACTACTTTTTCGGTGTCAAAAAACAATTATTTGGTGAAAACTTGATGCTGAGAATCCATTTTTGGGGGTTCGGAAATTTTGATGAAACTTCTTGAGGGTTTCCATGAAGTTGCCGGAGAAGCATGGAGGGGGTGAAGTCATTACCCTTGCCCAGCGGGTTTCCTTCAAGACACTTGCCCTTTTCCAGCAAATTATCCATCCTAGCGTTCACTGAAATCAGAGCATCTTCAAAATTTGGCCAAAATCTGACACCACTTGTCAAGTGGCAAATTTCGGCACCGCTTTTAGCAAATCGGGAACCAGTCGGGAACCAGTCGGGAACCAGTCGGGAACCAGTCGGGAACCAGTCGGGAACCAGTCGGGAACCAGTCGGGAACCAGTCGGGAACCAGTCGGGAAAATCCGTCCACCAGTCGGGAAGGGCCAAAAATGGACCAAAAATCGACCAAAAAAGGGCCGAAAACCGGCTTTTTGAAGCGGTGCGCAGATTTTCCCGACTGGTTCCGGACTGGTTCCCGATTTGAAAAAAATGGTGCAAATTTGAGGAGATTTTGGTGTCAATTGTTTAACGACTTTTGGCGTCAAAAAAGCAATTGTTTCGGGCTGAAAACCGGTTGAAACCCTAGGCTTTGAACGTACCAAGCCAAGCAGCAATCTTTTCAAAAGGTGCAGGCATCCTTAACCCAAATTGTGTGACACCAAACCTAGAAGATCTTAGATTTTTTTGCACCTGCTGAAGCAATTTTTGGCACCGCAAACCGGATTTGGAAACACCAGGCCCAAGCACCAGTTTTATGCCATTTACGCACCACATTTTCCCCACATTTTTATTTCCGCGCACCCCTTTTCCATTTTCCAGCACCTTGCCGTGCACCGCCCCCCCTTCCAAGCCCACGTTTTAAGCCAGCTACGGGCTGGCCAAAATATACAATATATACCAGTAGTACCGCACAAGGCGGTGGCGGAAGTTTCAAACATAGGAAACCTTTTGGAGAGGTTGGTTGTTGTGAACCACGGATGGCAGAGCGAATCCACTGATGGACCGAAAGTTGGTTGAGGTCTCCTCTCTTTCTCTCTCTTTCTCTTTCTCTCTCTTTCCCTGAGTATCTACCTACCTACCTACCTGCCTACCTACCTACCTACCTACCTACCTACCTACCCACCGATCTATCTATCTATCTATCGATCTATCTATCTATCGATCTATCTATCTATCTTTCTTTCTACCTATCTATCTATCTACCTATCTATCTATCTATCTCATTATCTCTCTCTCTCTCTGTCTGTCTGTCTGTCTGTCTATCCATCCATCCATCCATCCATCCATCCATCCATCTATACATCTCTCTCTCTCTCTATCTCTCTGTCTGTCTGTCTATCTATCTATCTATCTGTCTATCTGCACGCCTGAAAACGAAGCTAGTCTACGAGACTTCCTGAATTTTTGAACTTGACAACATCAAAAAGGAAACAATTCTGCGAGACTTCCTGAATTTTTGAACTTGACAACATCAAAAACGAAACAATTCTGCGAGACCTCCTCAATTTTCGAAGTTGACAACATCAAAAACGAAGCAATTCTGCGAGACGTCCTTCAAAAATGGAAAGTTGAGTGCAGAGCTGACGGCCTCGTACCAATGTGTTTTGCGATTTTTCCACTCCACCTGTCTAAAGTACTGCGCCTGCCACGAAAAAGTGATGCCAGGTCATACGAAATGCTGCATCTGTCATGCAAAATCATCTCAGAAAACCTGCAGATCTGATGCTCCAAAATGCAACCCCTCTGAGGAAATCAGCGCCCTCACCTCCGAACAGCTCGGATGAAAATGTCTCTTGTACTGCGCCTGCCACGGAAAATGCATCTTTGCAGATCCTCTTCAAATGTCCCACGCCTGCCATCGTTATATATTATAATATTATGTATAATTTACTTTATTATATACCATACTAATTATTTTATACTGTATAATCACTTTTGACAAGGTGCACAATCCCTTGAGCCTGCCACGCGAAACGACATCTGAAGGTCCAAAAGTGCTCCGACCCCCTATGGTTTTAACATTTTGACTTCGAAATGTGCTTCGCGCCACAATGGCGTGCACTGTTTCGACATCTCAACTTCCAAAAGTGGTCCAGAGCTGGTGTGTTTTCTACATCCTGACTTCGAAATGTGCTTCGCCCCACAACGGCGTACACTTTTTCGACATCTCCACTTCCAAAAGTGTTCCGACTGTGAAGTGTTTTTAGCTTTTTCACTTGCAAATGTGCTTCGCGCCACTAACGGCGTGCACTTTTTCGACATCTCAACTTCCAAAAGTGCTCCGAACGTGAGGTGTTTTTAGCTTTTTCACTTGCAAATGTGCTTCGCGCCACAACGGCGTGCAATTTTTCATCTCATGTGGCCAGCTGGCTCCGCACCCGCCGCTTTAGCGAGCCTACTTTTCGACCCCCCGGAGCCACAAATCATTGAAAAAACACAGTGTTTCGCGACTTTCCTACTTTTTCGCGCACCTGGATCTTCTTTCTTCTGAGACTTTCTCTTTTGTGATCTTCTTTCTTCTTCTCTTCTCTTCTCTTCTCTTACTATGCCCATCTCTGCTTTTCATCTGTCCATATTGTCGGAAGTTTGACTTCAAAACTTCCTTCGAACATACAAAATATATTATACAGTATAAAATAAAAAATACATAATATATAATAAATAATATTTAATAAATAATATATAATATATAATATATAATATGTAATATGTAATATAAAATATATAATTGATAATCAATAGAAGAAAATATAACAAAACATATTCAATATATAATATAAAATAAATAATATAAAATAAATAATATAAAATAAAAAAAATTAAAATATATAATATATAATAAACAATAGAAAATGTAAAATATATAATATATAATATATAATAAATAAAATAAACTATATAATATATAATATATAAAATATAATAAAAAAACAGTAAATAATACAAGATGATTTACAATACATAATATACAAAATATAAAATACAATATATAATCTATAATATAAACTATACAATATACTATATTTAATATAATATATATATATTAATATATAATATATTTTTATAACATATATAATATATAAACATAAAGATATATATATATATATACATATATTATATATTAACAAATAATATATCATATATATAAAATAAATAGTATATAATATATATAATACATGATATATAATATATATTAATATATACTACATAGTATAGAAATTTTAATATATAATATCTAATATCTAATAGCTAATATAGAATATATAATATATAATAACTATTTTAATAATAACATATATATATACAAATACAAATTGCAATTTTTTATCCGGTATTCAAGGGTTTTCCCCCCCAACAACAGCATGGCAGAAGCCCATGCCATGCCAAAACCGCGGTCCGAGGCCGGTGCAGTGAAGGCAAATGCAAAGTAGAGAGCGCCCGCATCATCTGGGCCCTGGGGCACCCGAATCCGTTGTTGACTCAGAAAGTAAATGAAATTAACAGCGCGAATGGTACTCAAAAGAGATCAAACAAATGGGGCATAGCCAGCCAAAAAGGGGATAAGAATGTGTAGAAGCATCAACATAAATCATGAACAATACTAACAGCAATCCACAACCATCAAAGAATCAACAGCACAATCGATAACAACAACCACCATTAACAGCAATAACCGACTATCATTGGGTGGGAACCTTGGAAGCTTGGTCTGACCATCAACCGTTCGCAGCGATTCCGCGGTCCCCGGCGAAGCTGCCGTAGAGCAGCAAGGCCCAAGCTGAGGCAGAAACAATGGGTCGGTTCAAAACCTCCAAAATGTTAACCATGTAGGGAACTAATTTCCCAATATTTAGCCAATCAACCATCTAGTCATTTACGAAAAAGCCAACATCACGCCTGCCAGACCCACAGGGCCAGCCGCACTGCCCAAGGCATTTCGTGCCAGGACCCTCAATGTCCGCAATGGATTGGTTCAAGGGAAAAATGACAGCTGAATTTACGGGTTTTCACCATGAACTGATACGTTTTGTCAGTGAAAACGGGCCGGAAATAAACAAGGAAGACCAACCAGAAATTCAGTAGTTGGATGATTCTTCCACGAGATATCTGATTGACACTCTAGTGTTGATGTAGATGTTTTAAGCGCCTTCATGGGTGATTGATACATGGTGAAACATGCTGATACAGATTGATACATTGATAATACATATTATCATATTGATACATATGTATATATGTATATACATATACATATTGTGATATATATATATATATATTGATACATATTGATATTGACAAATTCATAGACAGTAGCCACATCATTTAGGCAACTTGTACCCCACTCTCCGGTCGTCACTGAGCTTCTCGACCCTCCATCCAGGCGACCTGCCAACCCATCGAAGTCTTAATTGAAATATGTGGTGTATTTGATAATAAATTTAGAGGGGTTGATTGATATTGCTTTTCAACAATGGACCAACCCATATATTGACAATGAACTTGCATATCATATCATCTATGGGTGTTGATCAAAATCGAGCTTCCTGGAGCGGAAAAAAACACATCGCCCAATTTCAGGGGTGACCTTACAGGGCCAGGGGCACATGATTTCACCAAAACTGGGGTAGATGATGGTAGATGGATAGTAACTGTAGATGGGTTGAATAACCACCGAATTAATCAACCAACTCAGGTTATTCAACTTGCTCATACTTGGGAAAAGTCCGATCTGACTGATCTGACCCTGAAATCGGTTGTTGCACGTTGCATGCGACACGGACATCACCGCGGGACTCGCCCGCGGCCTATGGGAAGCAAAGACAATGCGGTAACAATCAGACCTCAGAGCCAAAAAAAAGCAACTTATGAAGTTACAATGGTTGTACTTAATGGGAATTTTGGAAGTAACTACCAAAATTAATCCCGTATCAGTATAAGTAAGTAACTGACAAAAGCTTTACCTATATCTCAGGGATACTCTCATTTACCAACAGTTGAATGGGGTTGTCCCATCAATGACCATTCAGAATACAATCTCTGCAGAGCCAGAGATGTAGGCTTCAGAGCTCTTATTCCTTGCACCTTTCTGGTTGCAAAAGTGCCAGATTTCACCCTCCCCGTAGACACATGGTACCCGATGTCTGAGATGCTCGCCGCAAGCACCGCCAATCTGAGTCGGCCGCGCAGGAAACTGCTGAGATTCTGCACTTTACAAAATCACCAGGAAGCCGAGGTTGGGGATATTCCTCTGAGATCATGGATATGGGGTTGTCCAACAAAAATTGACAAATGAGTCCTGAAAATAGGGTACTTACCCCTATTTTTCGACTAAAATGGCCAAACATTATATTTGGTACACACTATTTTCAAACAAACCCATACATATATCATATAAAAATGGTTGTACATCCCAATTATTCCCAACTGTATCCCTTTATTGGTTGCGTAAATTCCAATTTTCATTTCCACAACCAATCCCCATCAGATCATTTTCTATGGGCGAAAACCTTGTACCCCTTCTGTTCACATCAAAATTGCTCGTTTGCTATGGATATTCATCCCTCTGAAGATGCTATTTACAGGTATTGACCTGTAACCATGTATATATATATACACACACCAATCAAAAACATGATATCTTCATGAACTCCCATGAAGAATTCGTTGTTGTTGATGGTGAAATTTAAATCCGCATAAAAATCACCTGAAGCTATGAAGTTCCCATTAAAAACAAAGTCCATGTTCAGCTAAACCGCGTCAAATCTCAGAACATCACCTTCCCCCAAGTCCATCCAAGTCCATCTCCATACCCTCTGGTGATTTGTTAGCGAACTGGAAGCCATGGCCCATAGAAACAGATGATTTTCCCAGCGATCGAAACCTCCATTTGTTTCATGGATTTATCATGGATTTTCCAGTTCTCCACGCAACAAATCACCAAATGGCCCAATTCCCATCTGAGTCCCGGCCAACAAGGGATTGGCTGGGAAAGCCAGGATTGTGGGATCTGCAAAGGGATCCGGCTGTGTGGTCACGGACCTTCGAAGCGCCGTCATCATCGGGAAAGGCCATAGAAAAACATGGGATAGTTATGATTAGTAGTTGTATTATTGGATTTATAATTTCAGACAATACTATTCAATTAGTTGTGTTTTTTGTGGTGTATAATATAAAACATTTTTTTGTATAATAAATAATCGTGGGGTTTGGAAAACAATCGGAGGAAGACTCTAGAGCTTATATAATTACACCACTATTTGACATTCTTATTGGCAAACACTACTAGCAATAAAATATTGGTAAATATTACCCTATTAAAAAATGTATTTTAGTTACATACATAGTAACTATGACCATCTATGTCATTACCAGTAAATATCATGAACATAAATAGTGATTGTTCTTATGACTAGTAGCAAGCAGTCACTATTGTATTGCTAGTCAATGGTCATCATAGTTGGCAAATGGTCATGATTGTTAGTAAAATTTAGTAAATAGTATCATGAACATATCATTATGATATAGTATTCCTGTGGTTCTCAAAAAATCAATCCATCCCAAAGTCCCAAAGCCATGGCACTTGGCAATACTCTTGGGACAAATCTAAAAGAACAGCATCACCGGATACCCGTCAGTAATTTATATTAATTTAACATAGCTAATGGCTAAGTTCTAATGATTTACCTGATTTACCCATAAAACATGGTGATTTTCCATAGCTAACTGATTAACTGTTTAATCATTACCAGAGGGTATCACCCATGGAACATCCCCAGATTTCCAGTAGGACCTTTGCTGCCACATGCTGCCACCAAGTCACGACTGACCCAAGAATGGCTTCAAGATGAATCGGAGAAGCACCTCGATGCTTGCGATGATGCGCTCTGCTTAACTGCCGGTTCTGGCGATTTTCAGCTATGAAAAGAGCGCGAAAAACCGGGTCAAGAATCAGTGCAAATGATCAAGGCGAATAGTCAAGGCTGGGATGATTCAACCATCGGATCAGTGGGAGCAATAAACATAGGTCAACTCATGAATAACACAGACTCACTGATCTCGTTTTAGGGTCTAGATCCGTGGGGTTTTAATCAGCTACCTTTTTTAGCCAAAGTAAGATGTCTCAAAGCAGCCTCAATTGAGACATTTTGAACACTGTCCAAGGTCAACAGTGCCATATTGTGCTTCCAAAAATTGTTCAAAATTGCTCGACATGACCCAAACTTGCCCGACAAAAATGCTCAAAATTGCTCGAAATGACCCAAGCTGGCCAGAAAAAACTGCTCAAAACTGCTCAAAGTTGCTCAAAGTTGCTCAAGATTGCTCAAAGTTGCTCAAATTAGCTCAAAACTGCTCAAAATTGCTCGAAATGCCTCAAAATGTCAAACTGTCTCAGAATGTCTCACAATGGGCCAACAAGTGTCTAAAGGGGTGATGTGCTTGCATATACAGGTGCGAAAGTTGTCATTACTTGGCATTGCTGTTGCCGGTGTCTATTGTTGCATGGGCTTAAGGTCAGTGTAAATTGAGCCGAGGTCATGCCTGCTGCTACGTTCAGAACCCTCAATCGTCAGTTTCAACTGACAGGGATCACTGTCATTAGATTAGTTGCCATTGTTTCAACCAACGGCTTCTCCCGAAAAAATCGCATTGCTTTGATAGGAAAAAACCTTTCATGCCCGCAGTTTCTTTTGCTTCATTACTGCCTCTTGGTGATACCGCAATCAGACATGAACTTCTGGGATTTTTTAGGATTTTTTGAGATTTGAAAGGTAGCGGACCTAAACCTAACGGATCTGCACCCTAAATTGCGAACAGTGACAGACATTGGGGAACTGTCAGTGGCAGAGGTGACAAAAATCATCACTAAGAAATGAGGATAACCAAATAGCCAAACATTTCCAGCAATTTTTGCATGTAACATGTGGGGCGACTCTGTAATTTCAATAATCGTTGCGTAGACATTCCCCAAGGACCCGGCTGGAAGGACCTGATAATTCAGGTTCACCATGCTGTTGTCCTGCAGGATGCAACCATCAACGTCTTGGATTTGAGGACCGATTCCAAAAAATTGGGTGGATTTCCCCTTAGGAAAATCCACGAAAACCCAGGTGGGCCTCAATAGTTCCACCTCCCAGTTGCCCGCAAGATCTTTTTCCCGAATCCAAGCAGCAACAAGCAGCAATCTGCTTGAGATAAAACCAGTTGACCTCCTTTGGAGGGAGCAAAAATGGGCAAAAACGTGAGAAACCGTCGGTTGCGGGAAAAAACCTAACTACTTCACTTTTTTTCGGCATTCGATGTACAGTCATAGTACATCAATTATCCAACCTCTTTTCTGTCTAGGCATTCAACTCTTTTGATTCATCATCCATCATCATCCATCGGCTGATTCTTATGGAATGATGGAAAACCACTTGATGATTGACTCTCATCATGTTTGTTTCTGGACAATGGATGACGTTAAAGAATCCAACAAAAACAAGCATATGATTGTAGATTCCTCACTCCTCCCAAATTTCGGTTACACAAATATTCTTTGTCAAATCGATTGTTCCATTCCACAACAATAGCAATAACTAGCTATTCCATTTTCATCATTCACTATCAGTGGTCTTCTAATATATATATACATACACAGTTATTCGATGGAGGAATTCAGTATTGGTCATCCTCTGGTAGTTCAATTACTGTCAAGTGATCCCCACCAACTGTCATTCTGACATATGTTCTGACATATGTTCTGATATATGTTCTGACATATGTTCTGACATATGTTCTGGCATATGTTCTGACATATGTTCTGACATATGTTCTGGCATATGTTCTGGCATATGTTCTGGCATATGTTCCGGCATATGTTCTGGCATATGTTCTGGCATATGTTCTGGCATATGTTCTGGCAAATGTTCTGGCAAATGTTCTGGCATATGTTCGGGCATATGTTCTGACATATGTTCTGACATATGTTCTGACATATGTTCTGACATATGTTCTGACATATGTTCTGTATGTTCTGACCTATGTTCTGACATATGTTCTGACATATGTTCTGACATATGTTCTGACATATGTTCTGACATATGTTCTGACATATGTTCTGACATATGTTCTGACATATGTTCTGACATATGTTCTGGCATATGTTCTGACATATGTTCTGACATATGTTCTATGTCCTGCCATATGTTCTGACATATGTTCTGACATATGTTCTGACATATGTTCTGACATATGTTCTGGCGTATGTTCTGGCATATGTTCTGGCATATGTTCTGGCATATGTTCTGGCATATGTTCTGGCATATGTTCTGGCATATGTTCTGGCAAATGTTCTGGCAAATGTTCTGGCATATGTTCGGGCATATGTTCTGACATATGTTCTGACATATGTTCTGACATATGTTCTGACATATGTTCTGACGTATGTTCTGACCTATGTTCTGACATATGTTCTGACATATGTTCTGACATATGTTCTGACATATGTTGTGGCATATGTTCTGACATATGTTCTGACATATGTTCTGACATATGTTCTGACATATGTTCTGGCATATTTTCTGACATCTGTTCTGACATCTGTTCTGACATCTGTTCTGACATATGTTCTGACATATGTTCTGACATATGTTCTGACATATGTTCTGACATATGTTCTGGCATATGTTCTGGCATATGTTCTGACATATGTTCTGACATATGTTCTGACATATGTTCTGACATATGTTCTGACATATGTTCTGACATATGTTCTGACATATGTTCTGGCATATGTTAAGTTCTGACATATGTTCTGACATATGTTCTGGCATATGTTCTGGCATATGTTCTGACATATGTTCTGACATATGTTCTGACATATGTTCTGGCATATGTTCCGGCATATGTTCTGGCATATGTTCTGACATATGTTCTGACATATGTTCTGACATATGTTCTGGCGTATGTTCTGGCATATGTTCTGCCATATGTTCTGGCATATGTTCTGGCATATGTTCTGGCATATGTTCTGACATATGTTCTGGCATATGTTCTGACATATGTTCTCACATATGTTCTGACGTATGTTTTGACATACGCTCTCACATATGTTCTGACATATATTCTGACATATGTTCTGGCATATGTTCTGGCACATGTTCTGGCACGTGTTCTGGCATATGTTCTGGCATATGTTCTGACATATGTTCTGGCATAAGTTCTGGCATATGTTCTGGCATATGTTCTGGCATATGTTCTGACATATGTTCTGACATATGTTCTGACATATGTTCTGACATATGTTCTGACATATGTTCTGACATATGTTCTGGCATATGTTCTGGCATATGTTTTTGCATATGTTCTGGCATATGTTCTGACATATGTTCGGACATATGTTCTGACATATGTTCTGACATATGTTCTGGCATACGTTCTGGCATATGTTCTGACATATGTTCTGACATATGTTCTGGCATATGTTCTGGCATATGTTTTGACATATGTTCTGACATATGTTCTGACATATGTTCTGACATATGTTCTGACATATGTTCTGACATATGTTCTGACATATGTTCTGACATATGTTCTGACATATGTTCTGACAATGTTTCTGACAAATGTTCCTGGCGTGATGTTCTGGCTACATTTCCGGCATATGTTCTGACATATGTGTCTGACATATGTGTGGGCATATGTTTCTGGCAATATGTTATTGGCAAATGTTCTGGTCTGCATATGTTCTGACATATGTTCTGGCATACGTTCTGTCATATGTCTGCTATGTTCTGGCATATGTTTCTGGCAGCTGTTCCTGCATCCAACCTGTCTGACAACCTGTTCTGACATATGTCTGACACCTGTTCTGAGCAATGTTCGACAGATGTTCTGACTATGTCTGACATATTGTGTCTGACAGATGTTCTGACGTATGTGCTGACGTATGTCTGACATATGTGCGGTACATTGTTTCTGGCTATATTTCTTCGGACAGATGGTTCTGGCATAATGTTTTGACATATGTTCTGACATATGTTCTGACATATGGACATATGATCTGACATATGTTCTGACATATGTTCTGACATATGTTCTGACATATGTTCTGACATATGTTCTGGCATATTTTCTGACATCTGTTCTGACATATGTTCTGACATCTGTTCTGACATATGTTCTGACATATGTTCTGACATCTGTTCTGACATATGTTCTGACATATGTTCTGGCATATGTTCTGGCATATGTTCTGACATATGTTCTGACATATGTTCTGACATATGTTCTGACATATTTTCTGACATATGTTCTGACATATGTTCTGACATTTGTTCTGGCATATGTTCTGGCATATGTTCTGGCATATGTTCTGACATATGTTCTGACATATGTTCTGACATATGTTCTGACATATGTTCTGACATATGTTCTGACATATGTTCTGACATATGTTCTGGCATATGTTCTGGCATATGTTCTGGCATATGTTCTGACATATGTTCTGACATATGTTCTGACACCTGTCTACACCCAGTGCGACATATGTTCTGACACCTGTTCTGACAAATGTTCTGACATATGTTCTGACATATGGTCTGACATATGTTCTGACATATGTTCTGACGTATGTTCTGACGTATGTTCTGACATATGTTCTGACATATGTTTTGACATATGTTCTGACATATGTTCTGGCATATGTTCTGGCACATGTTCTGGCATATGTTCTGGCATATGTTCTGGTCTGGCATATGTTCTGACATATGTTCTGACATATGGACATATGATCTGACATATGTTCTGACATATGTTCTGACATATGTTCTGACATATGTTCTGACATATGTTCTGGCATATTTTCTGACATCTGTTCTGACATATGTTCTGACATCTGTTCTGACATATGTTCTGACATATGTTCTGACATCTGTTCTGACATATGTTCTGACATATGTTCTGGCATATGTTCTGGCATATGTTCTGACATATGTTCTGACATATGTTCTGACATATGTTCTGACATATTTTCTGACATATGTTCTGACATATGTTCTGACATTTGTTCTGGCATATGTTCTGGCATATGTTCTGGCATATGTTCTGACATATGTTCTGACATATGTTCTGACATATGTTCTGACATATGTTCTGACATATGTTCTGACATATGTTCTGACATATGTTCTGGCATATGTTCTGGCATATGTTCTGGCATATGTTCTGACATATGTTCTGACATATGTTCTGACATATGTTCTGACATATGTTCTGACATATGTTCTGACATATGTTCTGGCATATGTTCTGGCATATGTTCTGGCATATGTTCTGACATATGTTCTGACATATGTTCTGGCATATGTTCTGACATATGTTCTGGCATATGTTCTGACATATGTTCTGGCATATGTTCTGGCAAATGTTCTGGCATATGTTCTGGCATATGTTCTGACATATGTTCTGACATATGTTCTGACATTTGTTCTGACATATGTTCTGACATATGTTCTGACATCTGTTCTGACATCTGTTCTGACACCTGTTCTGACACCTGTTCTGACACCTGTTCTGACACCTGTTCTGACATATGTTCTGACATATGTTCTGACATATGGTCTGACATATGTTCTGACATATGTTCTGGCATATGTTCTGACATATGTTCTGACATATGTTCTGACATATGTTCTGACATATGTTCTGACATATGTTCTGACATATGTTCTGGCAAATGTTCTGGCATATGTTCTGGCATATGTTCTGGCATATGTTCTGGCATATGTTCTGGCATATGTTCTGGCATATGTTCTGGCATATGTTCTGGCATATGTTCTGACATATGTTCTGACATATGTTCTGGCATATGTTCTGACGTATGTTCTGGCATATGTTCTGGCATATGTTCTGGCATATGTTCTGGCATATGTTCTGGCATATGTTCTGGCATATGTTCTGACATATGTTCTGACATATGTTCTGACATATGTTCTGACATATGTTCCGACATATGTTCCGACATATGTTCCGACATAT